AATTACCAAAGCTGAATCAAGAAGATATAAAAATTCTAAATAAGCCAATATCAATCAATGAAATTGAAGATGTAATTAAAAACCTACCAACAGAGAAAAACCCAGGCCCTGATGGATTCATTGCTGAATTGTACAAGAAATTTAAAGACCTAATACTGCTACTTCTCAGACTCCTTAATGAAATTAACAGGTAAGCAATACTCCTAAATTCATTCCTGGAAGTAAGCATTACCCTGGTATCAAAACCAGGGAATGACCCAACCAAGAAAGAGAATCACATGGGGCAGCATAATCCCTTATTTATTTATTTATTTATTTATTTATTTATTTATTTATTTATTTGTACCAGGAATTGAACTCAGGACCTTGCATTTGCCAGACAGGTACTTGTGCCACTGAGCTACATTCCCAGCACAATCCCTGATTTAAAGTTATACTACAAAGCTACTATGATGAAAGCAGCATGGCATTGGCAACCCCCCCCAAAAAAAACAGACTCAGGATCAATGGATCAGATTAGAAGATGCAGAAACAACTCCAGACATACTTAAGTCACCTTATTTTTGACAAAGGTGCCAAACACCTTCACTGGAAGAAAGATTGCCTCTTTAATAAATGGTGCTGGAAAAACTGGCTCTGCACATCCAAAGATTAAAACTAGACCCATGTCTTTCACCATGCACTAAACTAAACAAAAGTGGATCAAAGATCTACACAGAAACACTAAATCTGCTGGAAGATAGAATAGGTAGAACTCTTGATATTCGCTGTTGTTTTGTTTTGGTAAATCTCCTCTATTAGTTTGAGGCTATTTCCTTCTATTCCTAGTTTGTTGATGTATGTATGTATACTTTATGTTTACTTTTATGGGTCCATGTTTGCAGAACCTAATGATTTCATTCCTCGTGGGGGATGGCCCATGGGTATAACATCTTTTTTCATCCTTTTCATCCTCTACCCCATCCTTCCCTCCCGCTCCATCTCTTGGTCCCCTTCCAATGTGAGAAAGATCTCTCGACTTCCTGTCATCTATCTTTAAGTTTGCTCTTTATTTACACTTTGGCTTCTCTCTCTCTCTCTCTCTCTCTCTCTCTCTCTCTCTCTCTCTCTCTCTCGCTCTCTCGCTCTCTCGCTCTCTCGCTCTCTCGCTCTCTCGCTCTCTCGCTCTCTCGCTCTCTCGCTCTCTCTTTTTTTTTTTCTTTGTCTTTTTTGAGACGGGGTCTCGCTATGCAGTTCAGGCTGGCCTTGAGCTCATTGTGTAGCCCAGGCTGGTCTCGAACTCGCAACGATCCTCCTGCCTCAGCCTCCCGAGTGCTGGGATTACAGGCATGAGCCACCACTCCGGGCACACTATGGTTTCTCATAGAAAAGAAGCCAGGCACTATCCGATGCCTTGGTCCCGGCTTCCCAGGGAGCTGAGCACCGTCTCCACAGAGGCGGCGCCTGCAGAGTCAGCGAAGTAGGGGAGGCGAGGGCGTGGTCACAGGCAGACCCTGTCCTGTCTCCGGGGAGCAGCAAATTTTGCCATTATTAATAACATGACATCCCCCTAGTTGCAATGTATAAAATTCATGGCACTTATAGGTACGTGGTAAGAAATAAAGATGCACACAGAAGACGGCGTGGCTGAGAATTGGCGGGGAAGGAGAAGGTCACGGGCAGCGCAGCTCAGGCACAGGCGGGCCGCCGGCCCTTCGCAGAAGCCTGGGGGTCCCCAGCGCCACCGAGCTGGAGCAGCGGCTTGGGGGCTCCCGGGCCCGGGCACCTGGCTGGAAAGGCCGTCCACACAGAGGAACAGCGGGCGGCAGCCGCTTCCTCCCTGCCGGGTCCTCCGCCGCAGCCCCGCGCGCGGCGGGAAACAGCGGGGACCTCGGCCGCGGCGGCTGCGTGCTCACGCATGCGCAGGACGGGGCCCGCGGGTCTGCCCGATGCAAGGGGCGTCGTGTGCGCCGGGAGAGCCGCGCGTGTCTGCTGCAGTCTGCGTGGGCCCGGAGTCGCGCCCCAAAAGTTCACCTCCCCATCGTGTCCCAGCCCCTCCCCGACCGTGAGGGCGCCGCAGGACTCGCGTTCACGTCTTCCCACCCGGAAGATGACTGCGCGCAGCCCCGCGCCCCGCTCCCGCTCGTCTCCAGGACGCAGTGCGCAGCGGGAAGCCAGGCGGCGCAGGCCCAGAGGGAGCTGGAGCTGTGGGGCCGGGACCCCTCCGCCAGCGAGGGCGCGGAGGCCCCGGGCCGGCAGCGGGGGCCGCAGGAGCGGTGGACGGTGAGGACGCACGGGGGGCCGTGCGCAGCGTCCGCGCGAGAGCAGGGAGACCGGGCCTCCCGCCGCCCCCGTGTCCCGGCCGCTTGGCCTTGGCCGAGACCCTGAGCCCGCGTGGCTGCCGGGGAGAGCGAAGGACCCAGCCCAGCAGCCGGAGCGCGGGGTCCGCGGCGCAGGAAGAGACGCGTGGCCCCGCAGCCGTGCTGCGGAGTGAAGAACCTGCGAGCCACTGCCCCGAAGCAGAGCAGATTGAATAGTTAGTGCTCATCCTTCCCCTCCCTGCTGCTCAACCAATGTTATTTATTTTTTCTTTTTTAAAGTTCAGACCACATCTTGTTGAATGTATCTGTACAGATATATCCATCCAGGCATTCATAGCTCGGTCTCTGGTACTGCTGGCTGTGACCAGCGCCCTCTGTGTCAGGTAGGGAGGGTAAGGACCACTGATTGGTTTGCTGCCTGCCTCTGGTCCTGGTAACAGATTCGGAGTGCACAGAGTGAGTGTCCAAGCCACTTCCGCCTCTTACCGGATATTCCTCTTCAGCCTCATCCATTCCGATTTAAGGGGCTTCGTGTCAGCGCCAGGGGATGCTGCGAAGAACGTGCCACCTGCAAAGTGGTCTTCCCAGAGAGTGGTATGAACCAGCAGGTCGACCTCCATGCCGACAGTGATGAGAGCAGTGCGCTCAGTTACAAGTGCCGTGTTTCTCAGGGAGACCCAGCAGATGGAGAGTCGACCCTACTGCCATTCACTTGGCTGTTTGCCTAGTAACTAGCCTTCTCCAAGGCCGCTGCAGCCCCTCGGTGCCCAGGCACGCCGTGCCCCTTGCTGCCTCTGTCAGTGCCTCTGCCCCGCGAAAACCCCCACTCCACCCGCCTGCACGGGTCCCAAGAACCTCTCAAAGCCCACTCAAGTTCTTCGTGAAGCTTCCCTGAAGTCTAGCTCTCCCAGGGCCAGACCCTCTGCGACAAAAGTAAAACAGGGCTGGGGGTGTAGCTCGGTGGGAAGGCTCTGGGTCCAATCTCCAGGATGTGAAAGAGGGAAGGAAAAGGGAGGGAGGGACACAGGGTGCCTGTGCCAGTCGTTCCACAGAACACCCTGACCTCCTGCACTAGGGATCCCCTACCTTCCGGCCCCTCTCCCAGGGGTTGGGGTCACCAGAATATGTGGGTCGCTGTGCCTATTGCCCTCTGGAGTCAAGTCCTGTGTTTCTTCCCAGCCCTGACACACAGGCATGAACAAGTGTGCTGTCCTGGTAGGGAGTCTCCACCCTTACGCACCGGTGGAAAATTCACACTAGTTTATTTTTCTTCCTGAAGTCTCAGCCTTTGGCCATTGGCAGGGAGGCGTAGGGAGGGATGGGGTAGGAGGAGCGTGGGACAGAAGTCATTCCGAGAAGGCCCTCAAGGCATCGGTTCCAACACAAGTATTGGGGCCAATGGGCCGTTCCCAGGGAGGGACGGGCCTCCTGACACTGAGGACCACCTATGTGCTGCTCCTGCAGTCCTGCCCACTTCCTGCCCTGCCCACCCCACCTGCAGGACTCCAGGCCTCCCAGACATTCCAGACCCTGGTGGGAAGTGCCTGGTCCTGCTGGGGAGGGTTCTGGGCAGTGGGCATAGCCGTCAGGGCTCGTCTGCCTGGTCTTTTAGCTGATGTTGGGCAGGGACCCCAGTTCTCCTGATGGCTGCGCAAGTCTCCTCCCACAGTTCTAGCAGAGGCTGAAAACACTGTGTCTCTGCGTGGTGACGTAAGCGAGCCAATATGTCCTTACTGGATTTAAAGCTCACACTCAATAGTAGGAATGACAGGAAGCAGCAGCACCTGCCACTTCCGACTGGCTTCCCTGGTGCCAGACCTGGGTTTGGCATGTTTTCATCTTGTATTGTTTAGCCCAATGATCAATGAAGGTCACTTTTGTTTTTGTTTTGTTTTGAAATGTTATCATTTCACAGATCAGAGAAACAGAACTTGAAGAATATAAACAACCTGCCCAGATGCCCAAGGCCTAACCCGAACTTAGGGTTTTAACCTTACACCATGAAGATGCCAAAGCCCCTTAGCTGTGATGCTGCCCTGCTAGTGGACATTGGGATGTAAGGAAAGAGATCAATGACAGTGTGGATGCCACTGATGGGGAGGGTGATGGCCGCGATTGGTCAAGTTGCAGTACTCAGCTCTTCAGTGACACTGTCAAGTCACAGGTCCCGTTCAAACTCCGTAACGGAAAAGGCATGCTGACCTTAATAAGAGTTTGCAGAAAGATAGAGAGCTGATTGATGCTAGCTTTCTAGTGACCACCTTCCATCCAGGAGCCCACCAAGAGCTGCCGCACGTTAGAAAGAAAGGTGCCCTATCTTACAGAAAATTCCAAGGGACTTAGGAACTCTGTGTGTGGAACCAGGGCTAGAGACCAACTTGAGGACAGAAGATGCTCCTAGCGTCCCTACTGCTCAGGGAATTACAAGGATTTAGGAGACCAAAAACATATTTCTTATGTCACACTCCTGCTGTGCAAGGCTGGCACCGTGGGCGGTAAACAGAATCTACCAGTGGCCAAGGAATACAGAAAAGTGAGTGTATTACTCCCCTGGAAGAGAGCCGTGGTTGAGTCCAAGAGGAGACTGGTCAAAGGCTGAAACTTTTCTATTTGACTTTAGCGTGTGTGTGGGTGTCTGGAAACATCATCCCAGGTACGTTTCCATCGGGCTGCAGTGGTTCCGTTGTCACCCGTCTCAGTTCTGAGGACAGGCAAGGGTTGAAGGCTAGTCCTGTTTGGTTCAGCAGGGTCCAGTGGCTCCTGGCACTGTTAAAAAAAGTCCTTCAGCAGAGAACAAGTCTGACAGGCTAACTAGGGTTATGATCAAAGGGGTCAGAATTATATAAATGTGTGTGTATGTGTGTGTGTGTGTGTTTGTACTTGAAAGGAACTTTTGATGTTATGCTGCGACAGGGGAGAAATGGTTTTAAGACATGACAAGCGGTTAGATCATCTGGTAATGTAGAGAGTTACTTCCTACACTCATCATTCGGCTATGTTGCAGCCTTTAAGTAGTGGTAGAATAACCGTGACTCTCCACAGCGACCTCAGACAGGAGGTCAGCAAGCACTAGTATTTCAAAGCAAAAGGCACTGTCCATTAGAGCTTATCATCAGGGAGCCAGAGCTGGGAACGTTGGGGAGAGGGTGCCAGCACTAGCTTCCGGGTTACTTCTTGGGCTTTCCAGAGCCCAAGAAGCCAGGACACTAGGACACACTGCTATGGTCAGTGTGCCCTGCAGCCCCCAGGCTGGTGACTTGTGGGGAATGAGGAGTCCTGTGGCCCCTCGGGAGTGCCCATCTGCTGCTGCACACGAGGAAGGAAGGGCCCCCGCCTCTTCTCCGCGTCCGGATTTTGCACCAGTACATTCTCCCGGCAGCACCATGCCGGCCCGAGTCCAGAGGGACTCCTGGGCTTCCAGCCCCTGCTTAGAAAGGAGTGCAGATGCGGTCACTGCAGCCTACCTCATAAGCGGGCAGGGTGAGAAACCGCTTGCACCTGAGGTGCCCTGGCACCTGCCCCCCACCTCGGTGGCTAATTGCTAACAACGGTCAGCTGAGTAAGGCGAAGTGACAGCCCAAGTCGCGCAGTTAGTGCCCAGGTCGGGGATCCAGAACCCAGGGCCTGGTCTGACGCAGATCTGCTGGAGGCAAACGGCACCTCGCGCCTCACCCGCAGAAGGAGTCTGGCTCCTGGGACCTGTGGCGGCTGGGGGGTTGCCTCCTGGTCCCTGCAGCCGCCAGAACCACGCCCCTACTCCAGGGCATCCGTACCTCAGCTTCTGGGAGGAGCTGGCCCCGCCCTGCGGCGGCTCTGGGGCTCCCGATTGGCTCTGAGGCCTGAAGGGGTGGGGCCGGACGCCGAGCCAGCGTGATGACGTCAAGCACCGCAGCGCGATTTCTCCTAGTAAACCGCGGGGAGGCCGAGGGGTTTCCGGCCGCGGTGCCAACCCCGGCTACTTCCTCCCTGTGGTCGTTTTGGAGCCAGGCGGCGAGGAGGGCAGAACGGAGGCGCCGCGGACGGGTGGTGGGCTCCGGACCCAGCCCCTCCGCGCCCTTCCCTCGCGACGGCTCGGAGGCCGCACATCTCACCCGCTGTGACAACCCTGATGCCCCACGCAAACCTCCCGCAGACCGACCCCTAGGTTCCCCTCTTCCGGCTCAGCTCGCTTCTCCCAGCCTCCCCCGCCGCGTTCAGCTCCCCGAGGTCGGCTCAGCCCAGACGTCCTAGCTCTCCCCCTCCCCCGTGGAAGACGCCTCCAGAGTAGGTTCCCTGCTGAGCCCCTCCCTTTCTCCGTAGCTGTGATCTCCGCCATCTAAGTTTGAAGTGTATCTTGTTCTCCGGACTCGCCCTCTAACTTCCTCGTCGTACAGTGCTCTTCGGCCCTCCTCCGTCCTGAGCACACCAGCCCTGTCTTTGCTAAACCGTCCCCTGCTTTTGCTGCTTCGGTTGCTATCACCCTCTCCGTGGAGATCGCCAAGTCCTTTCTCCTCTGCCGGCCCCAGGGCGGCTCTACACCCCTTGACTGGACACCCACTCACCCCTGCCACACCCACAAGCTGCCCCTGCACAGCCAAATCCAGGAACTTGGAAGGGAGCAGCTGGCCTGGCACGTGCAGGGACAGGTGGCCAATGAGTGTGGAGAGGGAAAGATTGCTCCCCTACTCTTGGGTCAGATATTTTAGTGATTCTGGTCGCTTGTACCTGTCCTCAAGGATTGTTTTTCCCGCATTCATATTAAATTACTTAAAAGCTGGGCATGGGGGCGCACGCCTGTAATCCCAGCACTCGGGAGGCTGAGGCAGGAGGATCGGTGCGAGTTCAAGACCAGCCTGGACTATAAAGTGAGCTCAAGGCCAGCCTCAACTGCATAGCCAGACCCTGTCTCAAAAAGACAAAACAACAACAACAACAACAAAAACTATAGATTTTTCTTAGGACTCTGGCTGTGTAGTCTGGACTAGCCTCGAACTTGTTGTGTAGCCCCACCTGGCCTTGAACTCCTGATCCTCTTGTCTCCGCCTCCAAAGTGCTAACAAGACACGTGTGCACCACTCCATTTCTTTTGAATACAGTTGTTGCTTCACCCCATTCCTTCCAGGCACAAACTCCTTGAAAGCATGAACCAGGTATTGCTTACCATGTTCGGGAAATGACACAAGTATCTGAGCAGACTCAGGTAATTATGAACTGAACAAATAGCTGGGAGTGAGTAGAAGGAAAAGGACTATTTTGGAACAAATGCAGCTCCCTGCTTCATGGCCCACCTGTCTCCCTCACCCTGCAGTTCTGTGTCACCCACTCTACCTCCGCTGGACTGTTAGGTATCTGTGTCCTATAGGAGCCCGTGAGTCCCTCGAGGGTCAGAACTCTGCCTTCCTCACCTTGGTGCCTCCCCTGTGGGCACAATGTTTGGCATATTCTTTTCTGTGACTTTTTTTTAATTGGTTGGGATTTTTAAACGAATGAGAATACATGTGCTGACGTGGAAGAATTAGCTTATAAAGTGTTTTGTAGTACAAATAATGAAAGGGCTGCTCCACTGTGCATCCCATGTTTTTTCTCTGAACTCTGTCTTAGAGGGTTGTCTTAGGTTGTCTTAGGAGCTCAAATGGCAAGG